AAAACGCACGGTATTTGCAAGCAGTGGAGCTGTAGAACTACATCCCTGTGAGCACCCCTTCTGTTAATTCTTCAGATAGCGTTCTTCAGTTGGCTTCAGAAAAGCGACCTGGGGAGGGCCCAGGGTTGGTCTGGCCCAAGCAATTCAAACATAGGTGACAAACCGCTATTGTTTGAAGCATCGGTTGGATTCCCTTTGAAGGTGACAAGGGGGTAGTGTTTGACATATGTTGATCAGCCCAAGTTCTGTCCAAGGACTGCCTTACGAGATTCCAAAATGAGTTCCAAAGCAGCGATGGGGGGGTATCAGAATGTGCACCATTAGATGGGCGTCTCTCTGTTTGATGATACCCTTCTTGGTATCGCTTTGAAGGGAAGCCGAAAAGAGACCAACTGTTTGGGGGAGGATTCCCTATTTTGACACAAACCCAAGTGGCGCAAGTTTCTCTTTTGGGGGAAAGGGGCAATTTGCATGTTGGCTTGTTCCGGATGCAACATGCATGAAACAAATTTGCAGAATCAACAGGACAGAAGTCAAGAAACGTCCTTGATGCTGAAGGTTGATAGCGTAAACTGACTCCAAGGACAGGTGGATCTGGGATTAGCCAGAAATGAGCTTCAATTTAAAACCGAAAGCACGGTCTACAGCAATCATTGTATAGATTATATCAAAAGCGACGCTGAGCGGAACTCATGGCCCTTAATCCAAATACCTCCGTACTCTGAATCTTATTACAAGATGCCAGCCCCGATCCCTTACGCAGCAAAGGCTCCTTTGTTAACATTCCATGATACGTGATTCGGGTTAAAATCAGTTGACTTCGGGTGGGTTATAGAAAGGGCATTTGCGTATGCCTCTGTGGCTTTCGCAAAAGACAACGCAAAGCCAACAGATCAGAAGGCTGCGACCATCTGAGGCCAATCCAAGCAAACCTCCTCTCAATCTGCAGGCTGACCGGCCTTCGCCCGGCCGCGCACGGATCACCAGGCTCCTCGGGTTTCGCAGCCAGCGAGCGAGGTCCAGGTCCAGTTGGAACCCCTCGATGTTGAATGGCTGAGGAAGCAAATATTCAGAGGTGCAAAGGAGGCTCCCCGTTTCAGGAGACAAGAAATGAAAAAAAATGAAAAAAATAAAAACCGGCTCAGCTGGGGAGGGGGGGGCATGGAGTCGAAAAGCGACTTTTTGGGATGTCTCATGTGTTCTGTTGTTTTGGTGGGTTTTCAGGGCGATCCCTTCGGCCAAGGCCCTGGGTGAGATCCCGAATCAGCTTGCAGCTTGCTGTCCCATGACACATTCCCGCTGGTGTCGAAGCTCCCAGAAACCCCTGAAACACCAAACAAAATTCACACCGAGACCACATGGGGTGTCGGGTGTTCGATGTTTCAAAGGAAACGAAAGAGAGGCTTTTCAGTCTGGGGCGGTCCATATCCCATCTTGGAGACAAACCCTTTTGCCGGGAATCCAAAGGGAAGCCGAGCCATCGGGTGGCCTCAAAAATGATGTCCAGGAGCGTTTTCCACTGCAGGACATGCTTGACAAACGACCGTGACCTCCCCGGGCAAGACTCAGATGTCCCTACCATTCCCCTCGAAACGTCACCCCAAGGAGAACTCAGCTTAAATGGGCCAACAAGGTGATGGTTAACTCCACCTCAAAGGAATATGGCAGTGGGTCAAAAAAAGCTACCCGAAATGGAACCCTGGTAAATGAAAACACGGACTCAATCTGCGGTCCAATTCCCGGTGGTTCAATATTGACCCACACCCAGAAAGTCGGAACCATTCACACGCCTGATCTCGCAGCTCGCCGGCACCAGGGCGAAGCGATACAGGCGCCGCTGCCTGAAGCGGAGATCGCCCAGCGACTGGGGAACTGGACTTGCCACTGCGAAAGCGCAACGGGGATCCAAGCAAAACCACAAAGGCCACTAGAGACATGGTGTGTATGTGCAAATAGATGTTCATAGAGACATCCAAAGTTACGCAACATTGGGAATACAGCAACCTTGTAGCTACTAAATAAAGAGTACATATATATATATATATATATGTATAAGTATCATAGCAACTTCTCTTGGGAAGGTAGGCAATTGGGGGTAGTGGAAAACTGTCCAAGACAGGGTCAAGTCCAGACTCAAGGACTATGACCAAGAAGCGCGTCAGGGTGTGGAGGTTGTTGGAGCACACTGCATCGTTTCAAAACCCCACGGATTCGGCAAAAACCTTACCTGACAATGTACAAACGCAGAGTGGTCATGTTGTGGACCAACAAATTCAAAGAGTGCCAGAGAAAAACACCGTGCGTGATCAGATATAGTTGGTATGTGGCATACGGCTTCTCAGTCACTTGGGGTACAAGCCCTCTACGGGCTGACAGAATATGGGCCAAAAAGCAGGGGGCTGACAGCCACGGGATGCTGTAGAGTTCAGCTTGGAAAGATCTTTAGACCGCAGCCAGGTACGGAGCGGTGGAAATTGCCGGGATATTGCTGGGGGCTCAA